ACTTAATCAACTTTTATTCATTTTTTATTAAATCATTTCCAGTTAAAATTAAAGCTAACTGACATCTGTTATGATTACTTTTGAACTTGTTCAGTTATTCTATTTAGTTGGTCTTTGGACCAAATATAGTAATATATATATATATATGGAAAGTATAAAAGGCAAAATTAGTTTGCTGTAAACCAAAATTTAATTAAAGGACAACTATGGGTCGATCATTTGGTGTGGACGTTCTATTGTTGCAGCACTTATTGTCGATTGCAATGGGCAAGGCAAATAGTTGGCTGTTGTCTGTGTGCCTGTGTGTGTGTGAGTGTGTGTGTGTGTGTGTATGCTTGCAAGTTTGGTTGTGTGTGTTGGCCATTTGGACGTTGGCCGCATTTGCCAGTTAGCTGCAATTATTTACATTTTGTCATTATTTTGCAGAAAATCATTTGCGGCCATGTTTAATTAGCAAAATTCATGTTTGAATGCTTTAAAACAATTAGCCACAGTCGCGTATACACACACACACACACACACACACACACACACACACACACACACACAGAAACACACAAGCACACTCACACAGACGGCTTCGAGTTGCAGTTTAATAAAGTGAGTGCCATGAGTGCAACATGTGAATACACTCGCACGCATTTGAATGCTCATATTGACTTTAGGCCAACTAATGAAGGCTCTGCATGCTGAGCGCTATTTGGCTCAATAAAATATAAATGATTGCAACTGTTATAGCATGTGATTGCTGCATATGCGGCATATGCATGTGGCAAGTGCATATTATATAGATGCGTTTCTCTTAGCCAGCTCTGCCACGCCCGCTTAATCAGCGTTGGGCGCTGCAATGTTTATTTATCGACGTGACTTTCATTTTGGAAAATCGGACGACCGCAGCATTTAAGCGGAAATTAAAGGCTGCAGTGTGTGTCACCATTTATAATGCAACTGCCACAGCAAAATGCATAGAGCGACAGAGAGAGAAAGCGAGAGAGAGAGATAGAGAGAGAGAGAGAGACAGCTACAAATAATCATTTGGTCTCGTCGTTTGGACTGCGCTTTTTGGCTTGATTTATTTTATTTACTCGACCCACAAACAGATTTATTCCCGCCTATTTATAATTTTACGCGCTGATAGCTAACTAATTATAAACTATTAAGATTTCTTCTATATGTTGGTAGGGTAAATGTTGGTAGTTAAGATTTTTGTTTGCGAATCTCTCCAGCAAAATCGATCTGAGCCAGCAACTACTTTTTAAGAGTTGAGTTCCAAGCGTTAACATGGCTCAAATCTAAACATAATCGAGTTGTTTCATTTTAGATTGGGAGAGATGAGGCTTTGTCTTTAAGAAAATCTAAATTTTTCTTGTAAGTATTTTACCAATTAATTAAAAATGTTCGTGCGTAAGCGATTGGGGATACCCTGAGTTGTCACTGCTCCTTTTATACAAACTTCACACACACACACACACACACACTCACACATACACACACACCTATAAGCACATACACAGACACGCCCACAGCTCACTTCACAGTTTATGCAGCGGCTTCATTTTCTCTTTCTTCTTTCTTTAGCCCTACGTTATGTTAAATGCTTTCGTCATTTCCCTCGGTGTTTATTCTTTTAGGTTTATTATCTTTTCAGGAATTAAATATAGTAATAAAATAATAACCAAAAACCTTAAAGATACTTTATCTGTATTCAATATTCTAGAAGCTATCTATCAAATTTGATGACTCAAGGTCTGAAACCCTAAAAAGCAGTATTTCGATCTCAATTTTTATCGATTGCTTGAAAATTGGGCTTGTTATCGTTTATCGTTTCAAATTCCAAGAGTCTAGCTTTTAAAGGTTCTCAGATCGAAGAGTTCATACGAACGGATAGACAAACAAAGAATATATATGCATTTTAGGGACGGAGATGCTTTCTTCTGCCTGTTTTACAAATTTTCACAAAACCATTTTATTCATTTTACCCATTTTCAATTGGGTTGTGAGAAACGCACACTGTTAACAAAAAGAAAAATGAAAACAAAACATTTATATTCAACTGAATTGCATATTTTCCCAAGCAGTAATTGAGTACTTAACAGACTTGACAACTCGAGAGTCCGACCCATAAGTTTTGCTACTGCGGCATCATTTCAATTAGTGAAATTATCGTGTATGTGCGATTATATGCTTGGGACAATATTATTGTCGTAAATGTAGCCAATTATTATAAACAGTTGCTGAAAGTAAATTGGACTCATTAAGAAGGCTATAAAAAGATGCCAAGTGCAATGTGAGTTTCTGTTTTCTGGAATGCAAAGTGAATATAGTTCCCACAGCTCGACAAATGACTTAATAGAATTGAATTAAGTACAGAAGCTAGATATTAAGTTAAAATGTAAGAACGTTTTTAAAACTTGAAATGAGTTAAGTTGAGATATCATAAATATATATAGATTATAAATAGATATCAGGCACCAACTGAACCAACAGATTTTCTCCAAGACATATAGCCGTCAAACATGCCAGCCTAGTGTAGAGCCCCCTCTGAACTTCATGTGTGCTTATACCCCATTGAAAATGCGTATAGAGGGTATAATGGTATAAAGTAGAAAGCATATATATTATTGATTAGCACCAATAGCCGAGTCGATCTAGCCATATCCGTCTGTTTGTCCGTCCCTCCATCTGTCCGTTTGTCCGTTCGTTTGAATGAAAGATCTCAGAACCTTTAAGAGCTGGAGACTTGAATTTTTAAATAATGTTTCTCCTAGGGCCCACGCAGTAAGATTTTGCTTCCGAGAATAGAAAACTTGCCCTGTGCTCAAATAGTCGATTTAATCAATATCGAAGTTCTATTTATTGAGCAAATCTCTTTGGTTTTGTTGCCTAGAATCACCAAATTTGACACTTAGCTTTCGGAATATTAAAAGGCTAACATCTCCCGCTACCCCTTCCCACGGAGCAGCATTGCATTGGCAGAAGAAGGTTGAGAGTATTTCCTAGTTGAGCACACCCGAGCCATGCACTCTTATTGTTTGTGATTGATTGCTAAATGATGCGGCCCATAAAAAATAATAAATCATTTACAAAAAAATAAAAAAAATCAAATGAATTTTTAATATTGATATGCTCTTGACATTGAATATTGTTTTGAAGAGTTTTCAAATTTATGAAATCAGAAATTTATTCAAATACAATGTCTTTTTTAACTTTTGTGCTAACATGTATATAAATATAACAATATATATTTATTCAAAAATAAAGTTTTTTACGCAGCGTCGCTTTTCAATTTACCGGAAAAGCTGCTCGGCAAAACTTTATTGGCAACAGAAAAAAAATGTGAAAATAATGCGAAAAATGCATATCTATTTTTAATTAATTGTTGAGACAAAAAAAAATGTATATAAAAACAATCCGTGAAACAAGTTAAAGTGATTGTGCAAATCTCAGAGTTTTATTTCATATTAATTATGCAGCTGAATGATTGCAATTCATGCATTTAATGTGCACAAAAAAAAACAATAATAAAAAAACACACACACACACAACAAAATTGCGAAAAGCTTCATGAAATGGCGGAAAAACAATCATGTGCTTAATGCACCGAAAATTGTACACCCTACTTATTATTATGTTGCCGAATGAAACAAAGGGTCAATTTTAAATACAATTTAATTGTTAATATTTGAGCAATATAAATACATAAAACTCCGTGTAAGCTTTATTTTATAAATCGAGATAGGCATGGAAAAATATTTCGAATATGTGCAGGATGATTTAAAATATTTGTATCATGCATATTTTTCAATAGTTTATATATTTAATGATAAGCTTGGACTTCCGACCTTGTTCCAAAAACAATATCTTTTCAGATAGTATCGAAATTAATTACATATGCAAAACTTGTTTCGACATATAATTAAATGTCAACACGTAGATTGGGTACATTCATTCCTTATATGGGTCACATGAATTTGAACATTCCATTTAAATTGAGTTCATCTAGAAGCCTGTCAGCCCATTGTCCTGGCTGGAATGTTTGGGCTTGGCATTATATTAATTAATTTTACACGCAAATAATAACTATAAAAAGAAAGCTGGTTTTTCTGCTCCGTGGATTTTATTTGAAGTTTTTAAGCTTATTTATTATCCTAAGCTTTAAAGTAAATAACAGCAAAACTCAATTTTTACTGAGCTGAAAAAGTAGACAGCAAAGCTGCAAAATGTTTTAAAGCAGAACATTGCAAAGTTTTAGCATAAATACAAATACTTTTTGCAACACTTTTAAAGATTTTGTAGAGGTTCTAGTCGGCCGCTCCCGACTAGTGGATACCCTGAAGCCTCTCCTTCCAACATCAAATGCATATATATATATTTTATTTAAGAAGCTATATGTCAAGTTTGGGGACTCTAGCTCTTATTATTTACCAAAATTGCCAAAAAAAAACAGGATATCGATATCGATATTTATCGATTACTTGGAAACGGAGTAAGTTATCGATTATCTGAGATCCTTGCGTTCATACATACGGACAGACGGACAGACAGACAGACGGACATGGCTAGATCGACTCGGCTATTGGTGCTGATCAAGAATATAGAATATATATAGATATCGATTTTGCAAAAATACAATATATCTTTATACCCATTTTTAATGGGTTCAGGGATAATTACTTTGAACCCAATGAAGATTCTACTTTTATTTGTTGGCCAATTTAAATATTTTTATTAATATTGAAATTGTTTCCATAAACATGAAATATTGTTTTGCCTTAAAATAATGCAAACTGAACCTAGTTCGAGCCGTTTTTCAACACACACACACAATTCATAATATCAATTACACAACACTTTCAACTGTTACATGCATCAATGCAAACTCAAAGTATCTCAACGCACGAAAGTGTGTCATTCTTTGAATGTTCCAAAATAGATATACATATGTATGTATGGATATTCAATGGAAAGGCCATCAACAGGTGACTGACGGGCGCACTTACCTATTGTATAGCATACGCAGGTTGTTGTTATTGTTATTTGTTGCTGTTGTTTTTGGCCAAGTTTTGAGCTGTTGACAGGGCCCAACTTGTGAGCCGAAATGCAGTTTCAGTTTCTGCTGTTGGCTTTGCCAATAATTATGGAAATTTTCGCTTTGGCGCCGCCACGCACTACAAGTTAGCAAAGTACTTATACATATATATATACACACACACACAGCGGCAAGCGCAGCACGCACACACACGCAACGCGGCACACACGCACTTGCACACACACGCGATTCCAATTCGATTTTAAGAGTGGAGTATGTAGCACAGTTTAAATCTCTTTATTTCAATTTCTTTAAATATATTTTATTTATTTGTTTTTATTAATTTCGTTTTATTTGTTAAGAATTGTTTTATTTTTGCGGCAATTTGAAGCTGCGTCCTAAATCCGCGACTGGCGCCAACGTTAGTGAACTGTTGTGCCCCAGTGTGTGTGAAGCTTGTGACATGGGCCAAATACAAGTTACACGATTTTCACAAAATTTCTATGTCACTAAAACTGGCCGCAAATTGAGAGCGAAGCCGGAGCGGCAACTGGAGCCGAGAGCAGTTGTGAGAGGCGAATTTTGAATCAGCAGCTGCGTTGCCCGAAATCAACGAAACGCATTTGGCACCTTCAAGTGGCAGCCACACAACGTTTTAATTAATTACAAACTTAATATGTTTGACACACTTCAAAACTAGACACGGTTTAGTTTTGGGACGCTGCACAAAATTATTTTCGTATGTTAAATTGTTGCTTGCTTATCGTTCAAAAATAACTGTAAATGTCCCGTTGCGTACAATTTGAACTGGCGTTGCAGAGTACCGTCTCGTTACGCGTTTGGTTGAAGACTGCGTTGCGTCCTCGTTGCGAACGAATGGGCCAGTGTCTTCGGCAACCACTCGTTGAATCAACAGTTATCACGAGCGACAAGCACACGAAGTAGACTGCATTGGCTGAGTTGCTGTGCGTGTGCGGGGGGTGGGTGGGTTTGGTTGGTTTGTTAACACGAACCGCGAACTCTGTGAGACTAACCCAATGTAATTGCCATTACGATGCTGCCATTTCGTTTGCTCTTTTCGTTTGGCATACCGTTAGAAGCAAATGCGTACCACAAAGAGAGAATTTCCCACACAGTAGGGGATGTTTTGGTGTGGATATTGTGGAACTCAAAAGGGGTAATGTACGCAACAGCTGCTGAAGTAAAATTTCTGCTAGAAATAATTGAATTTTATTTATTTATTTATTTATATAATAATACATTAATAGTACATTAGAGTATAAAAAAATATCAAACAGAACAATAATAATTAATATTAAATCAGTAATATAGCCCGAAACCCCATTAAAATAATAAAAGACGGAATTCTCGCCTTCCAAAAACAATAATATAAAAAAAAGAAAAGACCTCTAATTTGCATAAATCATTAATAAGAAATAAAATTAACCTTTTTTATTCAGAACTTTATCCATTAATTCAAAAATCCCATCGAATAACTTTTAAAGCATATACTAAATATGAATTTGTCTATTAATAAGTCTCATATATTAAAACACAAGAAAATATTTTATTAAAAAACATTTGCCAATGTTATTTGGAACTACGTTTAAGCCTTAATTTTATTTAATATTGTTGCCATAAACAAGGCCCAAAACCTAAAAGCAATTCTTAATAGCTTAAAATGCAAATATGATAATTGTCAAAATTAAGAAGGATTTTCTTAAAGATACTCAAATATTTTAAATATATTTATTAGATTATTACGCTAAGCTAAGTATTAAATGTCCACTGCATGAAAAGTCCCACTATTGCTTTGAAAAATTTCCCATTTTAAGAGCAATCGCTTGTCCAGTTAAATTTCCCCTCAACTTAAGGGAAATTTACTCAGCGCCGATCATTGAACAACGTGACAGCCGCAGCAACTTCAAGGCCGTTGGACACTTCCGTTTCCGGCCCAACCCACCTCACACTCAAAATAAATATTTCTATTTTATAATCATTTTCTTTTCATGTTACGCTTTGTTGGTGCGGTTGTTGCTTTTGTTATTCTTGCGGGCCACTTTATTGTTATTTTGTTTTGCTGGCAACTTCATGTAGAGAGCCATCTGTAAATTAAATTTAGCGACTGTCCACACACACACACAGAGAGAGAGAGAGAGAGAGAGAGAAACCCACCAGTCTGGCCACAGTCCAATGGTCACAATTGAAGCAATGGAATATTCGCAGCTGCCCTCAAACTATTTGCCAGGCGCCCTGCCTCTCATAATGAATATTTATGAAGATTTAAAAAACATTTTCTTCTCCTCTGTTGTTTTATGATTTGCAAGTGTGCCCTTCTAAATCTCTCACCCCCTCCCAGTTGCTCCGCGTTTCTCCAGCGCCTTCAATTCAATGGTGTGCAAAGTTTCACTGATGGACAATGTCCTCAAGTGGACGATGCTTTGTCGAGGCAAAGCATTTTAACTATATGTGAGTGTGTCTGAGTGTGTGTGTTGTTGCTGCTTCTTGTTGGTGTTTTCATTTTGCAAATGATTTCATTATGTGCTGCAGACGCCGCCCGGTCGTGACGGGCGCACGGTTCGAATACTTGATATTGCTTGTTCCCGCCGCCAAACGACAAATTTGCGTCCGTGCGGACAGTTCCCGAACGAAGGCGTGTTGGTTGTACGGATGGTGGCCAGGGGAAATTGTTTTTCTACGCTTTCGAAAGTGCTCAGCACGGTTGTCTTCGTGTAAATTTATTGATAATTTAATTTGACATTTGCGGTTACTGATTGTCATGATTGTTTTCATGTTAATCTTATTGTTCGACTTTTTTCGCTTTGTTTTTATTTTTCATGCCTTTTTTTTCTTTGTTGCTCTGTTTGGACTCTCTGCGTTGTGTATTTTTTAAATACACTTGCCTTGGGTCCTTTAAATATGCTGTAAGCTGTGTCACGTGCGGAAGGCGTTGTAGATCTTCAAATTTTAAGTAAATTACCTTGCTAAATATACATAAATAAAATAAAATGATTGCAATTATAAAGTACTTATACTCAATACAAAAATGATCACTCATGAAATAAGCACAATACACTCTTAATAGAAGTACAACTTTTTTTAAATTCAGGACTGAGTATTAAAAAAAATGTCCTTTTTAATTTCTTAAAATGAGAACTTCTTACTTAGCATAAGATGTGATTAATTTTTAATTTTATGAGTAATTTCCCGTAACCCCGTCTTAAAATGAAAAGTGAAAATTTCAACTTCCCAGTTCCCACGGCATGGACTGTGCGTTGATCACGAATCAGGAGTCAGTAGATAAGTCATAGAATCAGAACAAAAAGTTGTATGCATAGAGGTATATATAAGGGGAGAGAGTCAGATATAGAGAGGATAATACACATACTCTGATAGAAAGTAGATAATTAGTTCCTTTACATTTCAATCTGAACGAAAATTCAATAAATAAACAAAATATAATAATAATAAAAAATCCATAAGGCTTAAATACTTATGAACAATTGTCTGAGGAATTGAACAACTATAAAAATAAAAAAATAATAAGCAATAATAATAAACGCAGATATTGTCAAAGCGCTTACTAATATATTATATACTATATTATATACTATATCTATCTTACATTTAGAAACTCCAAAGAGTATATTTAAGCTTCTTCTAAGTCCAATATTATTTCTTGTCTCATATTTGACATAGCGAACGGCTATTTGCATTTACTTTTTATGTGCTTGTTGTTATATTCGTTTTTTTTTGTTTTGTTTTGTTTTGTATTTTTTTTTTTTTTATTATTTGGTTAAGGACCGACGCTTAACAACATCATCCATGGGGCGTGTTGTGAAATTTGCATGTCTTATGTGCCAATGCGGTCCATGTTGTTGTTGTTGTTGGTCTTTTGTGCCGTGGCCTCGATTTAAAGGCTCTTCGCTGGTCGCTCTTTAACTTTTGCTTTTGCTTTTGCCATTTGTGGACTTCATTCCATTTTTTTTAATGCGCGTCTATTGTTTGGCTTTGGCTCAAGCACAAAATTTGCATGGAAAAACAATGAAAATGGTCAGCAACGGCAACCCAATGAAACAACCGTTTTGAATACCTTTACGAAAATGTAATGTACCTAATGACTATGCTAAGGTATTTTAATTAAACTATTTCCTGGCTGGACGACATGCCAGCATGCCATCATGCCAGAGCCAAAGGCAGAGTCCTGGCCCATGGGCGCTCCTAAGCAGCTTCAAATGTGCACAAATATTGAAGTATTTATGCCGCACACACACACACACACATACACACACACACACACACACACACACGGTTAGACTGCAGATCCGTCTCCGTCTCCGCCTCGTTTCGTAATGCAATTTTAATTTCTTCGGCACAGCAGGCGAGAAGTGAACAGCAGCCTTTTGCCATCAGCCGGTTGCCTCCAACGCTTCGTTTCCGCCTGCTGCGCCATCATTTCCGCTGCTCATTTTTTGACTGACTCTGCGTGTGCCTGTGTGTGTGTGCTTGTGTTGTGCTCTCTTTATGTTTATGTGTGTCGCTTTGTTTGCCCATTTGATTGTCGTCTCGAGCGTTTCGATTGTCAGCCGCCTTTGAAGTTGATCAGATCCAATCAGCTCTCAGCGGAAATTTCAAGTAGATGCACCTTAAATCCACAGCAGTAGCAGTAGCAGTAACAGCAGCATTTGAATCTTGTTGTTGGTTTACCCAGTGCCCATTAGGTTAGGCTTAAGGCAGGGGTATTATGTACTTGTGCAGGCATTTGTAAAAGTCATAACTCGAATGAACATATATTAAATTACATATTATCTTAATCAGTAACTAAATTCGATTTTTAGTATCCACATCCATGCGTCTATTAAGCATAGTTCAAAGAAATTACCAAATTATCGATAATTATCGATTAGCAACTGCGTTTTTTGAGCGTACTTTAAAAATTGTAGAAGCCAGCGAATGTACTTTACTGAAAGCATACGCTAATCATGTTTACTGCAAATCGATAAATATCGACTGCACTAGCATACTTTGAAATCGATAAATATCGTTTATGACAACATTGTTGATAATTAGTTTAAACCAAAAAACAAAATTATATTCTTGTTCAGCGCTAGTCGAGCTTAATTTAAACTGGAAAGCAACTCATGTCTTTTCGTGAATTCGTTCAAATTTTGTTTTTTAGCATTGATTTCTTTAGTATATTATAAAGATTTTAACCAGGCGCGAGTTCGATGACTAGACTATCTGACTGTCTATTTTAAGTCAAACATCTTGCGTATCGTACGCACAATAAACATAAAAGTTATTTTAGAAAGAAACATTCACAGTTTGGGACTCGTTTTTATGCTATCAATCAACTGAACATGGGTGAAATCCTTTTATTGGCATACAAACAAATGTATGGAACAGCCAGAAGGGAACATCTGGGAGCCCATGAGATACAGAATACATTAACCCATTGAAATTGTGTACAAAGGGTATATTGGTTTTGTGCAAATGTATGTAACACTGAGACCAACCCCATAAAGCATATATATTCTTGATCAATGTATGTATGAAATATCTATAGAAAGAAACCTATAAGGGCTATATACTTGAAGTAGCACGTAGATCCTACAATTTGTTATCGGTTATCGATAACTATCTAAAATAGTATCATACAGGTCAGGTATCTTTCATTATATAAAAGCTGAACAGTTAATATTGAAAGCTTCTTCCCAAGTGATCCACGCTAAGCTTAGGGTATTTGAGAGTCGGGCAACACTAACTTCTTAACAAAGAAAATGAACTGCCTGCGGCGTGTGTCTTACTGAGTGCAGCTACGTTGCGTCAAATTGCAGGGTAACTGCTAGTTGAGCACGAC